TTTACAGCAATGCCTTTTTTCTCTACAGTTGATCTGAGTAATGTGATGTTGATTCTATCCCTAGTCTGTGTTTGGTCTTGGTCTTGGACTTGGTCTTGGTACCCTCAAGTCTCGGCAGTGTCTTGGTCTTGATACCTTCCGGTCTCGGCAATGTCTTGGTCTCGGTTTAGGCGGTCTTGACTACAACACTACTATTTATCGTCCTAGTCCGACACGCAACAGATTGATGCTATGTATTGTAAACTCTGACCAAAATTTGTGACAATTAAAACTGGAAATATTACAAATTTTATTATTTGAAACATAAGCATCTAGTATAACATACAGAATGTGCTTACAATTACAGACCCATCACCTGGAATGAACTGTGAAGCAGTCAGAGAAATTCCAGCAACAAACCATACTGTTTGTGTTTTCTAGTGTTATGCCCTACGACAAAAAATGTTAATTTTTGTGTTTTTTTTTTTTAAATTTTGTATTACAAATATATTTTAGTTTGCAATTCATTCAGTTTGTGGTTATTTTTCTTCTGAATCTGGGAATCTTAAGGCAATTGGAAGCCTTGAAAAATGGAGCCTTGAAGTAAAGAAATTACTTGCATTATATTTATACAATTATTGAGGATAACTGGGGGAAAGAAAAGGGATAAAATTTGTTGCCATTTTATCCAGCGTTAGTACAGTCATGTATTTGTGTGTCTGTTTGAGGACCACTGACATCTGCATTTGCCTCAAGGTGATTGTCTTTTCAGGATTGCTGGCATCTGGAAAGATTTTTCGAAAATCTCAAAGAAAATCCCAGTCAATTCAAGAGGATGATGAGGTACGGCTAAAACCAAAAAGGAACCAAAATGAGCTGGAGAAGGAAGAAGAGGTTAAGGAGGAGCAGGCAGAGGCTGTCATTTTCAGCAGATATAGCTTGGAACCAAAGGGTGAGTGTCTATTTTTATGATAAATTTTGTTAGGATAAAAAATTTTATATATCTCATTTTGCATTTCATAGTTGGTTGGGTGCACATTTCCATGCACAGTTACTGGGGCATGATCGGATGCCCCTGATTAATTTAATTTAATTTTTAATTTTATTTCAAACAAACAACAAATAAAAACATTTCCACATTCTCCATCATAATATCACAACTTTCGATTTCCTTGCTTGAAAAGGAGTAGGCAGAAGTGTAAACTTATTTGGTCCTACCCCATTCATACCATATCACTTCAAGATTAACCTCCTTCAAATTACAACAGCTGAATAAATGTACGTTGCAACAAAACCATCAATTCTACGAAACACACAATTCTCCCCCCCTAAAAAAAGAGAAAATCAGGAATTTTTTATAACGAAACAAAAAAATAAAATAAAATGACAGATGTTTTCCTTCGTCAATTACCGCCCTGGTTTAACCCATGTTTCAGATCCTTATATTTGTTTAAAATTAGTTTTTTATAACTTATTTTAAACTGAGTTATATTTTTACTTTTTTTAATTCTTCTGTTAGACTATTCCATAATTTAACCCCAGCTCTTGAAATAGAACAACTTTAAAAAGTATGTGTAACACTATGCTTTTTTAAATTCAGACTTCCTCTTAAGCTATATTCCCCTTCTCTCTCCGTAAATATTTTCTGTATTCCTTTTGGAAGTAAGTTATTTCTTACTTGATATATTATTTGCGCTGTTTTAAATTCAACCAAGTCTGGGAGTTTCATTATTTACATTCATAAAGAGTTCATTAGTGTGGTCCCTATATCCTACATTGTTTATCATTCTCATGGCCCTTGAAAATGTAGGGATGAGTGATATCACTGATTTACTTTTTTGGTCCAGTTTCGATTTGATCCAAGGTTGGTATGGCTGGTACCAATCTCGATTCCATTTTTTAGTGGTCATAAAACCATGGTAGGTACATAATGGCAATAACCATTTTTGCTACTCTGGGGTGCGGGTGGGGGGGCTGCCGGTGGATTGATGGGTCCATTTTCCCAGTGTCTGGACCCCCTTCCCCTTTCTCCTCGCCTTATGGAATGCCTGCTAGTAGCTCTTGTCTTGCTCTTTATAGCATCATGAGATGCTATAAATTACCAGATAATTATTAAGGTGGCAACTCAGTACCGCAATCTGTCAGCATTAGAATCAATTTTGGGGTTAAATATAGACCCTCCTACGTCCGGGTTGCATGTTTTCTATCACAAAGTAGTGCATTCTTTACTACAAACCATTGTATTTATCCAAAATTTTTAATATACAGTATCTCAGAACTCGAATTTAATCCGTTCAGAACTCAGGTTCGAATCCTAAAAAGTTCGAGTTCTGATAGAATTTTCCCCATAAGAAATAACCAAAAATTACACCTAAATATGATTTCTTTAGCATTTAACCCTCAATGGGTCCTTGTCAGAAAGTTACGTTCCAGGTCCTTGGGGTTCAAGTTGCACCCCTATCCATTGGCATATATAATTCAATGGTACCAAGCTCAAATTCAATTAACTAAAGTTAAGATACATTTATTAGTTAACTGAATGATGCTTGCACAGCTTACGCAGTGAGATAGTGCAGTTAAAGGGGTTGCGGCAGTGGGGGGGGGCAGCAGAGGGGACTGGTCATATAATGCACATTCCGACTGTATCCTCTTGCAGAATGTGTCGAAGAGCTTCAGTTCTAGCATACCTAGC